CACACGTAACGTTACGGACGCAATCCCTAGTACCTTTTGCGGACTTCCGGTGCGGATTACGGATTACGGGTTCTATGTGACGCCGGCCTAAGTATAAACGACCGCGTTATATCGCGTTGTGATCGCGTTGTGATTGCGTTGTGTCACATTCAACGTATAAGGTATGTAAATAAAACAATTACTGATTCCGCAATTTATTTATCTAAGATGATAATGTTTCACAGAAGAATATTTTTTTTATATTTGGAGCATTGCAATAAATTTGAAAATGAGGAATTTACAGGAATGTTGCCACTGCTTCATAAATTACAATTTTTCCTAACCTATTATAAATATATTTAATAATATTGTGTTATACTAAATGTTATACTAAATACTAAAAGTTGTTTTTTGATTATTTATAGCAAAGATTTGAATATTTTCATATATAATTAAATTGATTATTAAATTTTTGTCTTTTAACTTAATGTGGTGACAAAAATTCTTTAACATGTGATGCATGTTATCTGTATCTATCAATACCATGTGATATTATAAAACTGTGTGCGATATATACATCTTACATTATAATAATATTAATAATTAATAAATATTTAGATGGAATCCGATTACGATGAGGATCGAAGTGGTTGGGGAGATGAGGTGAATCGAAGTACTGAGGAATGTAGTGGAGAAGATATGTTTGATAATCCACAAGAAGTATTGAATGAATGTTTGGATAAATTCAAAACATCTGACTACATTATGGAACCTGGCATTTTCGCCCAACTTAAGAGATATTTTCAAGCAGGAGGAAATCCCGAACAAGTTATAGAATTATTGTCCAAGAATTATACAGCTTATGCACAAATGGCAAATCTTCTCGCAGAATGGCTAATCCTTGCTGGAGTGAAAGTCACTGATGTGCAAGCAATGGTGGAAAATAACTTGAAGGATATGATTCTTAAAACTTTTGATCCCAAGAAAGCAGACAAAATTTTTACAGAAGAGGGTGAAACTCCTGCTTGGTTGACAGAAATGATACAGCATCCTACTTGGCGATCTCTTATTTATAGACTTGCAGAGGAATACCCGGACTGTTTAATGCTAAATTTTACCATTAAACTCATATCAGATGCAGGATTTCAAGGTGAAATTACAAGTATCTCAACTGCGGCTCAACAAATTGAAGTCTTCTCACGTGTATTGAAGACTGCAATTGCTGGATTTCTTCAAAATACAGAAGACTGGCAATCGAGTATCCAAGAATGTGCAAAAATGGTATGTCACGGTCAACATACTTATGTGTACAGTCAAGTCCTGTTGCAGATTTTAGCACAAGAAACTCGTGGTGGTTTTATGATGAAAAGACTATCTCAAGAAATCACCAAATGTGCTCAACAAAATCGACATGACGTTACTCCAATAACAATGGCTCTGAATGGTGCTGCTAGTAGTCCTGGAGCATGTCAAGCACTAGCATCTATGTTATCAAGAAACACTTTAAATCCTGCTGACATCACTGTATTGTTTAGAAATTACTCTGCAGCAGAACCACCTCCTATTGAGTTGTTACGTAACCCTCAATTTTTGGGTAAGTTGATATAATTATTTACAATAGTAAGAAAAGAAATTGAATAAGAGGAAGACACAATAAAATTTTAAATTATTACCTTACAGAATTATTGGTTGATGCACTTTTTAAGCCTGGTGTTAAGATAAATCCTGAACACAAATCGAAGTATATATATTTATTAGCTTATGCAGCAAGTGTGTGTGAAGCAGCTCCTAAAAAAGGCAATACGCGTAAAACTAATAAGGACGAATTAAAAACAACTATTCAGGCGATTGAGAAAGTACACAATATATGTAATATAAACAAAGGATCGACTGAGCTAATAGCAGAGTTACATACCTTGTATCAATGCATACGGTACTTGTTCATGCATAATATTTATTTTGTGTATTAAAAAAATATATAATTTACTCATAAATTGTTTACTACAGATTTCCTGTTGTAAGTGTGGGTGTAATAAGGTGGGTAGAGTGCACTGTGACTGAACCATCATATTTTAAATTATGTACAGAGCATTGTCCTGTACACCTTGCTTTATTGGACGAAGTTGTTGTTTGTCATTCTCTATTGCATCCAAAAATATTGAGATTGCTTGTGCACTTGTTTGAAAGTAAACAAGATGAACTGGAGATACTTGTACAGGTAAGTTTTCTCCAAACAGCATCAATTAAAAAATAAAATTATTAATTCTTTAAATAAAAAAACTCCCCTTTCTAGCTGGAGATGAAAAAGATGTTGATTGATAGAATGGTGAATCTTTTGAGCAGAGGTTGCGTAGTACCTGTTGTGTGCTACATTAAGCAATGTTGGCAACGTGGAGATACAGATGTATCTCTAATCAGATATTTCGTCACCGAGGTGAAGTATAATACCGTTCTTACAATCATTTATATTATAATAAATAGTTTAGTATAATCGGTATTTTTATATATTAGGTGTTGGAAGCAATAGCTCCTCCATACTCAACTGAATTTGTACAATTATTCTTGCCAATGGTAGAAAATGAAGAGATTACTGGGACTATGCGTGGAGAAAGTGAGAACGACTTGGTTTCAGAATTCACTGGTGAGTATAAGAGCAATAATTAAAGAAATATATATTTTTTCTATATAAACAAACCATGAAACTTTCAGTGCACTGCAAAACTCACTGCCCTGTTGTAAGATGACGTTACAAAAATTAATCACAGGTGGGTTAAATCAAAGAAAAATAGAATAACACGAAGAATGGTTTTATTTTATAAGGAGACAAAGATCGTCAGAAATATTACATAACTTATGGCTATAAACATGTATTGGATGAATTCTATATCCATCTGTGATATCATCTAGGTACTTTCTGTAACAAAAAAAAATATATATATATATATACTGTCAGTGCTATATATATACTATAAATTTTAAAGAATGAATGTTTATTAATGAACACACACTAAGGCATAAATGTTATTTGCTTAAAAGAAAAGAATTTTAATTATTTTTGTTATATCTGTAGTTTTAAATTCAAACAATCAATCAATTTTGTGGTTTAAAAATGAGAATTCAAATGTCATATTCGGGTATAGAACATTTGTTTTATCCTCAAAGTTGCTTGTTGGAATTGGGAAGTACAGACATAATAATGCTGATTGTTAGATCTCTTTATATATTAAAAAAATGCAAAACCAACTGCTAATAATGGTTAAATAAGAGGACAAGAAAGTATTTTCTAAAAGATTGTCATACTTGTGTATTAAAAATTATTAATACTATATTAAATAATTCTATTAAAACAAACACTTGTAAGTACGCAATCATAACACAAATTATAGACTTACTGATCGTTAAGATCATATCTTTTCAGCTGTAACAAAATATGTATTCATGTAACAAAAACATTTTTGAAGAATAAATGCTTAAAGAAAAAAAAGAAAGCAGTAATGACAAAGAGATGACTTGAACTGAAAGATCATGAAAATAATAAACTAAATGTTTAGAATTACATCCTATTTTTTATCGTTAACTTGAAATAATAATAAGTCTTAAGAAATGCATACTAATAGGTTTTCCATCCTTCCACTGAGTAAATTTCACATTGACTTCATCACGTTTGGCCGCCTCTGCTCTTAAGTCAGCTTTTAAAGCTTGCCTGACTAACCTGGCTGCGATCTGAGAGTAGTTGATGTAACTGTAATAAAACAGAAAAAAAATTTGTACAAATGCATTTTTATTTTTACATATTTTGTTACAAGCAACAATCAATAAGATAAAATTCCACATTAATAATCAGGTAAAGATTAGGTTACATAACAACCTTGACAATTTTTAAAGAGATAATATACACAGGAAAAGAAATGTAAAATATGAAATGTAATAACTACATTATTTCCTTACTTCAATCCTGCTTGTCTCCACGCTGACATTTTTACTGTTAATTTGGAAAAGACAAGACAAATTTTATAGGAGCTGTGACAAATACAGACCACAACGCCGCCTGTAGCAGAAGACTAGTTATAAATCTTTGCTTATGCCAAATACACAGTTGTTAATCATCACATTAATTCTCTTTTTCTATTGGCTGTTACCAAATTGCAGATGCTACATACAAATGCATCTAAAGAGACCATTACAATGAAAATGCAGCATAAAGGAGCTGTTTGGTGTATTGCATATGCGTGGATTTATATGCAATTGTTGGCACTGATGGCGCTGGTGTCTACTTACTTTCGGCGGTTCAAAAGTTACGTAGATTTCATCTCCGTATCAAAATAAATCTATTTTTGCTGTGTGAAGGTATATTATGCGATGTTATTATGAATTAAGTACTGAGTAATTATATTTAGCATTAGATGTGAGATATAAATACGGATTGTACTAGCATTTGTGTCCCTAAATCTGTTGTCGACTTGCTTCAATTGGGTTCTTAGAAGTAAAGCAATATGGCGAGAAAAACACGAAAAATGTCCGTTGTTAGGATTGTACAAACGACTTTTTGTTAATAAAATAATTCTACACGCAAAACAAGTTTTGCGCGATGGACTTATTTAGTAGTATATAAAGTAGTTGAATATTGTAAAAACTTTTATATTTGCCAAGCACTTCGATAATTATTAAAAAATAATTTAGAGTAAAGGAGGACATTACAAATAAATTAATATGAACATACAGAATATTGTTTATGGTTGTTCTGGAAATACTTATTGGCCGGTATTCATAGTCCGTTCTTATATTTAAGGTTGTCTTAAGCACGGACTTATATTCGCTCTCTTCGTCACACATATAGCGTTTTCGATTATACAGGATTTGAACGACCCAGGGTTGATCAATCACTATTTTACTATAAATGCAAGTCTTTCATTGGTGGAGAGGTTGCAATGACGTCATTAACCAACCCTGGGTCGTTCAAATCCTGTATAATCGAAAACG